ATTTCCACAACGGGCCTTTTTCCTAGTTGTATATCAAATAAATAATACTTTAAGAATATTTGTTGCCATTAATTATTATAGGGCACTTTACTGGCTTATATTTTAACCACTTGAAATTGTTGGAGAATGTTTTTAAATGAAGAGGAGGTAAATTACGGTGTCAAATAAATAAAAAAACATATATGTGAACAAACACCAATTGTATAGGAACCAAGTGTATAGAGAAATGAAGTGTGAGGTACACAGGTGCAAATCAGAGAGCTGCAGTATTATGATTACGGAGCTGTTCTGTAATAAAATCAGAAAAGATTCTCCTTTTTGATTTTAATACTATTAAAATCACATTCATGTTCTGTGACATATTCACAGATTACAGTTCCTATTTCATTACATGTTGGTGGCAAAATTCCCATTCAGTTTATTCAGAGCCAGAGTTTCAAATATTGGCTCTGAAAGGCAGAACAATCTATCTTCCTTTTCTGGGTTTGCCTCTTAAATTAGCCCAAACGTGTCACATATTTTAAAGAAACAATGTGTTGCCAGATGCCAGTGATTGCTCAGAGTGTGTGGTTCTCTGTGACGTTTGTAGTGTCATCTGCGGAGAGACTTGTGGCCTAAACCCCAGTGTCATTTTCTCAGCTGTTCTGTCGCTGAGAATCAAACAGCTGCGGCCTAATACCTCAGGCTGCTCCTGGCACACTCTGTGTTTCTAGCAATAGATTTAATTTACTGACCCTGTGGCATGGTTTAAAGCTGTCTGTGATTTCCCTTGCACTGAATAAAGGCTCTTCCTTGGACAGTACTTCATGAGAAAGGACAGCGCTCCTCTGATGCATTATTATATAGAATCCCCATAGAAACTGAGGTGATTTTAGACAACTCAGAAGCAATGCTCCCTCTAAGCCGTGAAGTCTTGTGAGCAAAAATTCTACTTTGTGAGGTACTGGCATTAGTGAGCGAGCGAGTGATTTGGCTACTGCATAAATTAGTTTGCTCTGGAGCCATCCTTTCTGAGCTAAGACAAAAATGTGTGAGCTGGAAGCTAAAAAAACCTGTGAGCTAGCTCACACTAACTCAGCTTAGAGGGAACAGTGCTCAGAAGTTACTTGCAAAGATGTGAAGGGCTTGAGATTCAACAAAGCGTAACATTCCTCACAATTAAACGCAGAGGGTGCCATTTGGGGTTCGGTGATCAGTAGGCACCTGGATGGGGAGATATACAGGAACATTCCAGGAATTGTTTTATTTGGATTAAATTGTAAAGAAAAAAGATGATTTTCAGGAACCTGTGTTTATTGTTTAATGCTTCATAACAATCAGTGATACAGCTGTTCCTCAGAGGAATAATCACAGGTGGTTTGAAACATAAGCAGGGAAGAGGCTGCCTCTCTGTCTTCCTTTCATTAATAAATTAACTCCAAAAAATGATAATAAGCATTTAGGATGTTTGCATTCCTTTCAACACAGCTACATCTAGAAAATTATTTTTCCTCTTCCCATATTTCTGTCACAGCACATCTTCATCACTCCTGGTTTTTGATTTAATTTGATTTATTAGATTTATATTTTGCCATTCCCCCGTGAGTGTGCTCAGGGCGGGTCACAGCATTTCAATCAACAACATAATAACAATAAGACATTAGCGTTTAAATAGAACAAACAAATTAAACAAAATTAACATTAAAAGCCCTGACCTGGATAGCCCAGGCAAGCCCAATCTCATCAGGTCTCGGAAGCTAAGCAGGGTCGACTCTGGCAAGTACTTGGATGGGAAAGCTCCTTGGAATACCAGAGGCAGGAGGTGGGGGCTGGCCTTATTCAGCCACCTCTCTGAGTATCCTCCAGGCCCCCAGTAGGGGTCAGTCGCCAGAGGTCGCCATGACTTCCAGGTGCACACACACATGCATGCGTGCGCACACGCATGCACATACTTTTGAAGTTAACATTAAAAGATAAAATTTAAAATCGAGTTTCAGTTCAGTCAGATAGATGGCAACTAGTCAAGGCAGATTCATAGTGTCTCCTGTGATGATCCAGTACTCAATTGGCAGCCAGTGTAATTGGCGCGAGACTGGCTGAATACTCGCTTGCACAGATGTTGCCGTCAGCAATTGTGCTGCCACATTTTGCACTAGCTGCATTTTCTGGGTCAGGTTCAAGGGCAGCATAGAGCGAGTTATAGTAATCCTGCCTGGAAGAGACCATTGCGTGGATCACTGTAGCTAAATCCTGGGAGGTGAGATAGGGAACCAGCTGCCTGGCCAGCAGAAGATGGTAGAAGGCTGACCTGGCAACCAAGTGAGGCATCCAGGATCGCCCCTACGCTCCTCACCCTCTGTGCTGGTGTCAGTGGTGCCACGCCAAGACTTGGGAGCCAAATTCCCGATCCAAGACCCCCACAGCTCAGGTACAGGACGTCTGTCTTCACTGGATTTAATTCCAGCCAGCTCTGCTGTAGCTATCCAGCCGCAGCCTCCAATGCCCCTTCCAAAACATCGGGGGCGGAGTTCATCCGTCCATCAACAGGTCGAGCTGGGTGTCATCAGCATAGCCCCCAGACCAGCTAGGCTGAGGGGGCACATTGTAGATGTTAAACAACATCAGTGAGAGGATCGCGCCCTGGGGCACACTGCTTTCCAGTGAATATCGTGGCGAGATCCTCTCCCCAAGTGCCACCCTCTGTTTTTGTTATTGTGGTGGTGGAAAGTGCTGTCAAGCTCCTTTATGGTGACCCCACAGGGTTTTTAAGGCAAGAGATGTTCAGAGGTGGTTTGCTGTTGCCTACCTCTGTGTAGCAACCATGGACTTCCTTGGTGGTCTCCCATCCAAGTACTAACCAGGGCTGATCCTGCTTAGCTTCCAAGGTCTGATAAGATCAGGCTAACCTGGTCCATCCAGGTCAGGGCTTTTGTTATTGTGCTTTGTAATATTTGTGATATGGTGAACCTTGTTTAAGGAATGTTATTTTAGTATAAGGCTTGGACACAGAGTAACAGCGGAAGGAGGCGGGGTGCCAGAAAATTATGTGCTGCATTGTGGCTCAAAAATCCCAGGATGTGAAGATCCCTAGAAGGTGCCAGTGTCCACGCCTATGGAAACAACCAATGAGAAATGGCTTTGAAATGTGAGGCAGGGTTTGGATGGAGAGTGTGGGAAATTTGGGCAGTTTATGGGCAGTAGATTCAGGAGGGACAAGAGGAAATACTACTTTACACAGAGAGTGATTAAAATGTGGAATTTGCTGCCAGAGGATGTAGTGAAGGTCAAAGGAATACACAGCTTTAAAAGGGGACTAGATAGATTCATGGAGGAAAAGTCTATCAGTGGCTCCTAGCCATGGTGACTGAGGGGAACCTCCACATTCAGAGGCACCAAGCCTCTGAATGCCAGAGCCAGGAGGCAACATCAGGGGAAGGCCTTGGCCTCTATGCCCTATTGTTGGCCATCCAGAGGAACTGCCTGGCCACTGTGTGAGACAGGATGCTGACCTAGATGGACTATTGGTCTGATCCAGCAGGCCTCTTCTTATGTTCTTATTAGAGAAACAGTCTCCCCCCACCCACCCACCCCGAGCGCAAGTTTGATTTTGGGATCTCTGCCAGCAGGGTGGGATGAGCCCTGAATTGTTGGGGTTAGAAGAAGAGATTGGATTTATACCCCACCCTTCGCTACCCGAAGGAGTCTCAGAGCAGCTTAAAAATCTCCTTTCCTTTCCCCTCCCCACAACAGACACCCTGTGGGGTAGGTGGGGCTGAGAGAGCTCCTGGCAATAGACTCGGGCTGCTTCCCTGTGGAAGTTTAGCTCTGCTTTGCCTCTCAGCCTGCAGCATTCCCCTCCCCACAAAGCTTCCACAACAGCACTGTCCACTTTCCAGGTGTTCTTCTTCCTCACTGCAGTCCCCCCCTCCCCCGCAAACCAAATCTTACCAGAAAGATCATACTCGAAGTGGGTTCAGTCACTCACTGTGTGGACATGAAGGGATGGCGTTTTGAACCTCCACGTCCACAGCAGCACCATGACCTCTCAGTATCACCTCATGCCCAGCATCCTCCTCCTCCTGCCAGTAGTGGACTTTTTGCCAGCTTTTTTTTAAAAAACAAATTGGGAGGTACTATATTGCTGTACTATAATACTACTAGGGTTTTTTTTTTTTTTACATTGGGGGGGAATCCACCCTCCAGTGGCATTGTGTGTGTTGGGGTGATACAGGACTGGCAGTCAGAAGGGGATCCCAAGTAAAGGAAGAACTTCTTCACCCAAAGGGTGATTAACACATGGAATTCACTTGCACAGGAGGTGGCGGCTACAAGCATGGATAGCTTCAACCAAGAAAACAGTGAACAAGAGGGAATTGGATAAGCATATGGAGCAGAGGTTCATCAGTGGCTATAGCCACTGGGTATAGATATGAACTCTCAGTCTGGGCTGCACTGTATTCTTGGTGCTTGGGAGGGTCAACAATGGGAGGGCTTCTAGTATCCTGGCCCCACTGCTGTATCTCCTGCTGGACCTGGTATTTTTTGGCCACTGTGTGACAGAGTGTTGAACTGGATGGGCCATTAGCCTGATCCAACATTGGCTTCTCTTATGTTCTTATGTTCTAAAGCCTGGAGAATCTCCCATGTGGACACTCCATTATAGCAGCTGTATATTATCAACACTACACTTACGATGCAAGGAACTGGTGTTGATGGCTCATCAGGTCTTCTCAAGACTGGCACTTCTCTAATGGTTTGGTCCGTCACTGAGTCAAAACAGTGTTTAGCTAATATTTTTTTAAAAAAACCTTGAAGGAATTAACCTTTTTTTTAAAAAAAATAATATCAGAATGACAATTTCAAGACGTTTTAGGAGGCTAATGTTTATAGGGGCAAAGGGGAATGTTAGTTTACAGCTACTCAGCTAAGGGGCAGGGGGTGTCAGACACATCCCCCCCCCACTCAAGAATGATAAACTCAATGGCGTCTATTTTTAACTGTCTGTTCTTTCCTTTTGGCAGAGCAATCAGTGTTAGCTGAGCTCTTTGACGGACTGAAGCCAAGCAGCCCTGTTTGCTGGCTTCTGCAATGACCGGCAGACATACGCAGCTGCAGAAAAGCAGCCTTTTCACATGAAGCTGGGTCCTACGGCAACCATGACAAGCAAGAGCGGGTCCAACGGTCCACCTTCTACAACAACAGTTAGTTCTGTCTTTGTTCAGGCTGGAGACTGCAGAATTGTCTTAGGTATACTCAAGGTAGGCTCAGTGGATCTTAGTAGTGGTGTTTTCAGCACTGCAGCATCGACTTCCTTGGGTGTTGGGTCATTTTTATTCATATTTCTGCACATGTTGGTTGGTGCAGCAGATGAATGGAAAACTTTGGGGAAGGGACTATTTTGTTGTCCTGATTCGAGTAAGAAGATTTCTAATTGATTTGTGTGGAATAGAATGCCTGGAAACCATTAAGCGTCAACAGCAAATATCAAGCCACACCACAACAAACAAAATACTCTTATTCTTTGGACAGTATAAATTTAAATTAAAGCAATGGCATAGCAATACATGTTGGCGCATGTTTACTTGTATGGCTCAAACTTCACTTTATTGTAATTTAGTTAAGAATATTTAACAGTGTTTTTCTTGTACTGTACATAAATATACACAGTGCATTGGTAGACAGATTTAAGTACATCATTGTACTGGATTCTTCTTGGCACAAGTAGTAAATCATTAATGCATGAACAAATAATTAATGTTCCTGGGATGCAGACCTCTGTTTTAGAAAGAGAAAAGTTTTTACTATCTTAACTGGAATGCTTTAGTTTTACTTTGAAATACGATTTCATTTTCAACATAAGTAACTCTCAAATAGAAAGTACTTCTTCTCAAACCAGATCCACTAAAACTTAACACAGCATCATATTATTTCTGGATGGAATAGAATTTTGTACTTTTATTAGGCACAAATGTCTTAAATAAAGCATTTGCACATAAACACATTAGTGCTTTTTATTTTGCATTTGCATTTTAGTGTGGGAAATGGGTGCAGCTCCAGCTGTCTGAATCCGTACCAAATTTGTTAGAAATTGGAGGCAACCAGGAAGAAACCAAAAAATTGTTACAGGATCATGAACTTCTCTTGTCTAAACTCAAGGTAAGCCATGCAATACTAATAACTAGAATACCACTGGCCGTGTTACACTTTGGACATGGAAACTAGAATTGATGGTTGGACCACTGCCCTTAGGCCTAGAGTTGTTTGGTGAAGCTTTCACACTGGGACTTGGATTTTGAGGATCACTCTTGGGGCATCAAGTAGAAATCTCAGGGCCATCAGCTCTAAATAGATTTTTAAAGATACTTATATATGGAGCCCTGCTTGTGGTAAATCGGAGGCGATTCTGACAGTAAGATATGGCAGTCTCATTTTACCATGTTATTTCTCTGATGTTTGTTGGGGTAAATAATCTATTTTTTTCAAAGCCATCTGGTTGGCGTTCCACACGTTCACAGATACCATATGGTACAATAACTAGGGCTGTGTGGAGGTACTACCGTCAGGGCTATTTTTGTGGAAAAAGTCCAGCAGGAACTCATTAGCATAATAGACCACACCCAACAGCAATAACTCATTAGCATATTAGGCCACACCCCTGACAACACAGCTCATTAGCCCCATGTTACCAGAAGTGTAAGTCATCCACCCAGACCCACCTTTTGCTTCTTATTCTGTTTACCCTGTTTGTTGTCAAAACCCAGGGCTTTTTTTGTAGCAGGAACTCCTTTGCATGTTAGGCCACACACCCCTAATGTAGCCAATCCTAATGTGTTTCTGCTGTTGGGTGTGGCCTGTTATGCTAATGAGTTCCTGCTGGGTGTGGCCAACTTGGGAGCCAGCCGGAACTCCGTTCCTGTGCGTTCCTGCCCAAAAATAGCCCTGCCGTTAATACTGGTATGCAACGTTTCATCACCAGGTTATGCCTAGAGTTGCCAGTCCCCCAGTAGGGGTGGGGTATATCCCACCTCTGCCTCTTGCTTCCTGCTGCCACTCCAAGCAATGGTGAGAGAATCATTTTTAAAGTAACTGTTGGGATTATGTCATTTCTGAGGAAAACCTGGAAATGACATCACGTCTCTCAAAGAATTGCTGGAAACTCTATGGTAAACCTGCCCCCATGTCCATGCCCCCCCCCAGTCTCCCTCCCCCAGACCTGGTAACCCTAGTTGTACCCCATAAATATCAGGGTTTGGGATATTGAAGCCCTGACAATTAGTTGCCAGTTTATAACTGGTCCATCTCTCTGTCCCGTTAATATCAGTTCGACCTTCAGCAAATACCAGCTGTCTGTATTGTGTACCTCCATGTCATGAACATACAGCTGCCCCTTTCCACACATAAAACCTCTGTTCAAGGGACCAGAGATTTTTCTCCTGGCCAGTTGGCAACCCTATCATAATCTTACTTCGTTATCTTTGTGTATTTGTCAGTTAATTTCCTCAAAATAGTCCCTATGGCTTTGGGAAGCCTTCTCAAACTTTGTTAAACTGCAAGGATATATGAGAAACAGCTTGTGATATATGGGTAAAACCTAACTCGAGATAATTCTGTTAATTCTAATTATCACTTTATTAATTATGTATTATTTGCTTAGGAGTTTAAGGAGAAGATAAAAAATAGTTTTTCAAGCAACCACCGGTAATGACGGGGAAAAATCTTTCTGTTTTCAATACTTATAATGTAAGCAGACATTGCCAGTGATACTGTGTATAATATGATGTAATAATTTATATAGTATTCCAAAATGTATGATTCGTGTTGCAATCATGTTACACGGAAAATAATAAAATATCAATTAAAAAAAAACTTTGTTAAACTCATCTTCACAAAACGAAGCAGCAAACGATCAGAGCATCACCAAATGCCACCCACAAAACCAAAGCGGCCATTTCAAAATCCTGTGTGTTCCTGGATCCTTGCTGTGGCCCAGGATTTAATGTTGGCAGACATCAGGGGGGAAACCCACTGGTTATAGTAGCAAGCAGCAAAAAGCTTAATTTTGCAAATGACAGTAGCTTCCACCAGGCATGGCTGTGCCTAGGATTTTCAAGGGCTTTCCCATGGCTAATGTTATATGCTTGATGGCTGTGTAAATTGGTCTTAAGAGAAAATGAATATGAACCAGCTGTTAGAGCTCACTCTGAAGCATGTTGCAACCTGCTTTAAGGGCCCTCTTGGCATCTATATGTTACAATCATTTTCTTTCTTTCTTTCCCCCCACCACGTTCTGCGGTAGTTGTTTATACAAAATAAATAGTTGCAGCAGCCTGCAGACTTTGCTGGAAGCAGAAACGTTTTGCTTGGTGTATTGAAAAGTTTGTAAGAATAATTTCATACCTAGCGGATATCTATCAGTCTTTTACAAATGGACTGTTAACAGCTTTTTTTAAGCACATGCAGGTAAAAGTACTGGTAGGAAGCAGAAAGCAATTTGATGGAATTCTAAAGAAATATATGTATCTGTGCACATATATGTATATATATGAGGAGTCTGGTTTCAATACAACACATGGAACTCATAGAATTATGTTCTGAAGTGACCTTGTAAAGCACATTCTCTTTTTTTGGGGGGGTTGTATTTTTCTTATGTGCATCGTGTATGTGTGCATGTGTGCATGTGAGTGTATGTACATGTGTGTGTGTGCAACTGGAAGTCATTCCTCAGTTCCACAGTACTGGGGACCACTCCCTCCTCAATGGTTCCAGTACCCTCTGCCTCCACCTATCAACTGGCCTATGGAGTGGGAGCAGCAATTGCCACCCGCCCCCACAGAACCAAGCTCCCAGTGCAGTGCCCACCTTCAACACCGTTTGCTACGGACCAAGCCCTTCAGAGTTGGATGAAAATAAGCCTCCATCTCTGGGCGGCTCCAATACCACTTGAAACCATCACCTGATGAGTGTACCTCCTGTTTCTTCATTGGAGGACCTCTACCTATTCTCCAAACAGTTGATCCATATGGCTCAGTCCTTCCACATCAACGTTGTTTGTTCAGAAACAACTACCTCTGATCCCAGTCTAAAGGTACTTTATCCACCCGATGCGGGCATGGTTGCCTTTCCAGTCCTCCAGGGCTTACTTGACATAGTCAGGTCCTTTGGGGCTAAGCCAGCTTCAGTCTTGCCCACAACCAAGAAGATCGACTATATGTACAAGTGGCTGTGACTTTCTGTTCACCCACCCCACTGCCAATTCTATTGTGACAGAGGTCATGCCAGCCAAGCAGTGCTCTGGTCCTCACTCCATGCCCGTTGACAGGGAAGGCCACAAGCTTGATGTCTTAGGCTGTAAGATCTACACATCATCCACCTTGACCCTGTCCATGGCAAATTTTGTCATTCCCCTGTTTCATGTTCCACCTTTTTGTCATTCCCCTGTTTCATGTTCCACCGTTTTGTCATTCCCCTGTTTCTTTTTTTTACCATATCCCCTCCTGAGTTGCAACAGGAGGTGCTCCATCTCCTCTGTAAAGAGGCCATTGAGCCTGTTGCCTTGGTTGATACCAATGCTGGTTTTTAACTCTTGTTTTTTCTTGGTTGGCAAGAAGGATGGTGGTAAGCACCCAATCCTAGACTTACCTCAACAATCCTCAACAAGTTCCTAGTGGTCCCTAAGTTTCCCATGACCACATTGTTGGAGGTTCTTGGCTTACTCCATCCTCACGACTGGTTTGCTATTATCGGTCTTAAAGATGCTTATTTTCACATTGCCATACACCCCAGGTCTAGGAAGTTCCTCTGCTTCCAGTGTGATGAGAATCATTACCAGTATAGCACCCTCCCCTTTGGCCTTGCCCCTGCTCCCAGCGTGTTTACCCAGTGCATGTCTGTGGTAGTCGCTCACCTGCAATTGAAGGGTTGCAATGTGCACTTCTACCTTAATGACTGGCTCTTCACTGCACCCTCCTCTGAATTGCTAGCCACTCACATATTGTTAGCTATCTCAACCCTAACCTCCTTAGGCCTTCACATTAACTGGGATAAATCTGTCCTACATCCCACATAGCACATTTTCTTCATTGGGACCCAAGTTGACTCCTACAGGGGCACGGCCTTCCACACTCATATTCTAGGAGCATCCCTTTGAGTGATGGTACTCAGGTTTTCCTCCAGTAGGTTCCAGTCAGTTAAATCTATCCAGAACTCCTAGGGTTAATGGACTCCACTACTGCTGTGGTCTGTTTTGCTTGATTTTTTAATGAGACCCCTGCAGAACTGGTTCCTCACGTCCTCTGACTTGCAGTCAGACTCCTCCTGGAGGAAGTTATAACACCAGGCATGTTATTCATTCCTTAAATTGGTGGTCTTTTGGGGAGAATCTACCAAGTGGCTCCCTATTTGAGGCACCCTCACATGACATTCACGTTTTTACTAACATGTCCCTTTCAGGCTAGGGAGCACACTGTGGCTTCCACTGGACTAGTGGCCATTGGTCCCCTCATGAATGGGGGATGCATATTAACCTGTTATTTTTTAAAAAAGTTTTTTAATTAATCATTTCAACAAATACAATAATAGTAGAACAAAAATAAACAACCAACTTTCACTACATAACCCTGAGTTTTGTCAATGTCTCTGTAACATTATCTCTTTTATTACAACAGAGATGTTCCGCCAGGCTTCTGGTGGAGGACAGCAATGGTTTCCTTCATAGCGGACACCCTCCTCTTTACTGTGTCCCGCTGCTGGGGCCATGCCCAGGTGGACCTGTTTGCCTCCTCTTCAAATGCCAAGTGCCCTCAATTCTGTTCCTTGGCTGGGGTGGATACCTACTATGCTTTTCAGCTGAAGTGGCAGGGAACCCTGTTTTATGCCTTCCCTCCAATCCCTTTTCTAGGGTTCTTTCAAAAATTCAGGCAGACAAGTCCCACTGTGTTCTAATTGCACCCTTCTGGACCAAGAGGGTTTGGTTTCTGACCCTGTGGTCCCTGTCCAAAGGCCACAGCATACCCTACCTGTACTGGAAGACCTCCTTCGCATAGGGCCCCTCCTTCGCCATGATGTCCAATCTCTGCACCTGTCAGCTTGCCTAATAGACAACCACTAGTGTGGTCTGACAGGATAGCACAGGTAGACTTCCCAAGTCCCCCCCCGGG